CGACCTAAATATACAAATCTACAAATGGAATTTTACAAATTCTGATGGAATATAATACGATTGTTTTCATGTAATAATTTAGATATTGAAAATGCCAGGGCTACCGAACTTATAATTACAGTTTATTTTTAAAATTCTGATGGAATTTATTACTATTTGTATTTGTTAAAATATCACAACATGCTAATTTAGTATAGAATATTTTTTTAAATTGATTAAATAATAATTGTTGCTTTAATTACAAGCAATTTCTTTAATCGTTATAATGATTGTGTACTGTGCATTCACATTTCTCTGGTCTGTCTACCACGACGACCACGGCAACGACAACGGCCAAGAACTACCGACCAGCTGTTCTTCTTGGCTTCTGACTCGGAAGGCGCATTTGCATCTGGCCACATGTGGCAGCGAACCCCAAATCTAGAGCAGCACCACATAGTTACGAATGTGAGAATGTGCCACCGGACCCCAATTCGGTGCAACGAGTGAATAATGTTCACGCCCATAAAAATTACTCAAGATACAAGTCGCAATTTATTATTGCAGCACATTTAATGGACTTCAATTTGATATTTTGCATTGCTTCAAGATTGTTTTTCTTTTTTGTTTTTTGTACATGTTCGTAATTTCATTTCTTGCTGGCATTTTTCAATTGAAATGGAACGACAGCAGCAAAGCTTTAGAGCAGAACTCTACAGATGACAGCAGATAATTCTCATTTTTAAATGGGAAATATGGTAAGTGGTTTTTAATGTGGTAGAATATGATTTATATGGTCAGCTGATATATATATATATTTTTTAAATAATTGTGTACAACATTTTAACTGCAATAAAGTAATGTCTATTCTTTATAAATAAGTTTTCCTTTATCTTTAAGCCTCACTTGTTTTAATAATTTTATAAATTATTGATAATCAAATTTTTCAAATATGTTTATAAGTAAATAAATTATGTAACTTTCGCAACATTATTTTGTACAATTCCATTTATAAGTTATTTATTAATTACATTAATTGTTGTTGGGGGCATTACAAATATATATAAAGAACTTTTATTTAAAACGAAACTTGAGCAGATTTACGTGCTCTTATTAATATTTCCAGATGATGCCATTTCGGATTACTTTTCAGATTATGCTTACATATTCTACACTACAGTTCAGATTAAGCTTTTTATAGAGCTCATCATATCGCCCGAGCTGGATAAATTGAATAAAATATTAATATATACATATTAATACGTGTATACATATACGTTTGTTTATACAGCCCTTAACTACTGACTAAAAGAAAACGGTTAATCTTATTAATTAAGCTTTCAAGGTAAATGTTGGTGATTGACAGACAGTTAAGGCCAAGGCCATTAACTTAAATTATATATGCATGCAATTAAAAATGTTCGTTAGCTTAAACTGCAAATAAAAACTGCTTATAAATATAACTTTAAGCATAGTTTTTACAACTTATGTATATCAAATTCAATATTTTGAAAAATGTTCTAAGAATTGCAAATTGTAGCGTTGGCCGTTCAGAAGCGTACCTAGCCAGCTTTATGGCCTCATTAAACAACACTTTAACTATAGAGCCGATGATCTCATCTGAATACTTCTATGACTAATGATCATCAGCTTAGCTGAGGGCTTGTACTTATTTACTTACTAAACGTATACAGATGAAAGTATACATACATAAGTGTTCCAGATAATGCTCTAAATTCCCAAGAAAAGGAATCTAGATTCTGGTTCGAATTATAAAAGTAGTAATAATAATAATCTTAAGAACCGTGGAACTCACCAATTAAAATCGTTGGTTCCATTTTCGTTGGCTTAATCAAGCGTAGTCGATAATCCAAAAAGTCGTTTCGTAAGTAAAAAAAAAATTGACAATTGTTTCCAAATTAAAATACTCGTTGAATCACAGAGAAAAAATGCGCTTTATTATTGAATTTTATTTTTAAAATGCGCTATCGAATGTTTCACACACTCTGTTTCGTAACATTTCTGGATAAGTATTGAAAATTAAGACAAACACATCAATTATAATTCCGGATAAATAAGGTGTTAACAATATTTTAAAAAGTGACACCTGTGGCCGAATTCTGGCTTGCATTTTTTCACTCGACGATTTGTTGTTTTTGTTGTTTTTCTCACCATACGTTTGCGCGTGCGCAACACAAAACACAATAAACATGACGCAGAGACAAAATAAACAAACAAACACAAAAGCAAATGGTACGGCAAAAAAAAACTACCGTTAAACGGAACCATCACAACATTTTCGTTTTAATGAGTTTTCTTGTTTGTTTGAATTTTTGTTGGTGTTGTTGTTGCTTTTAATTTAACATGCTCTTTATTGTTTATTTTGATTGTGCACTGCTAGAAGTGCCTATGTATGTATGCATGTGTGCGTGTGTGTACTATTAACGTACGTTTATCAACGCATAGTTTGTCTTTTACATTCCTTTTTTGGCGGTGGCGTTCTTATCGCAGGCAGAGAGCACAGGTGGTTAAAATAAACAACAACAAGAACAGCAATAACGAAATTACAAAACAAACACCGGTTGAAGAGAGCGGAACGTTCGCAAGTGAAACACGCATAGCGATCGGAGGGAGAGTCATCAACCAATGTGCTATCACCATCTCGTTTGTTCCAATGCTATAGGAGGTACACGCGCATGGAAAGCGAAAACCAGAAATGCCGCTAACAATGGAACAAGCAACAGTTTAGTTGCGCTGACGTCGGCGCTGACGTCGTCGTCGTGGTTAATTTGTGAGTCAAAGAATAAGCCAGCAGCACCAACCAGTGTTGTCAATAAGCCTTCTTTTTCCCGCCAACTGTGGCGGTTGCGGCAAAAATTGTAAGGGTGAAGCAGTCGGGATTTCTATCGTTTTTTGGAGCTAAAGAATCAAGTTAAATAAAAAATCCTCTGCTTCATCATATATACAAGTAGTACTAATGATTCTAGATATAGTTTCATACATGAATGGGTCTATTAATTTGAACTTAGTAACTGCCTCACTTATCTATGATATTTGTTAAGTACTTTTTTTGTGTATGCAAATTTTGAAATATGCTTTGTAACCCAGAAACCGAAGCAGGGTAGAGGCCCAAATCCATTAAGTTCAGCCAGATTATAATAGTGATCATGATTATGCAGAAATAATTCATATGATGTATATTAAAAAGAGTCTTGGTTCGATATTCCATAACATAATAATAAATAATATTTCGCAATAAATACGAACAACTTCAAAAATAATTGAAACCTATTAAATAGGCAATGTTTTATTAGAATTATAATTTATAAAGCTAGTTCTAGCTTGATTCAATTGCTGATCTAGCCTTCTCTGACTCATAATAACTGGCAGCACTGACACCAACAACTGCGCGCTTGGCTTTGCCTTCAGTGCGCGTGTGTTTATGTGTTTGCTTGTGTGTGTGTGAGTGTATGTTCAGCAAGAAAAAGAGTTAAAGGCAGAAAGCAGAATGTGTGGAAAAAGAATTGTGTTGGGTGCGCAGAGTCTTTCCTTTAATTACTATACACAAAAAAATAGGAAGTATGTAACTAAAAACAATGGCAATTGTTGTTAACTTTTATTGGTACAAAGCTTCTTAGCTTTTTCTCACAGCCATTCGCGTCACTATACACTTGAACTTGTGCTGCCGCTGCCACTAAGGTGGACGTCGACGTCGACGCTTTTAATTGAATTTTGCACTGCGTTTGGCTTTGTGGCTGGCTTGTGGGCACATTTTGCTTTATATTGAAATTTATTTTAGGCACTTTTGTACACGAACGCGCCAAAACAATTCAACGCAGTTAAAACATTTTTTAAAGCTACCTTTTTGCGCTGCTTCTGTTTGGTTTTTTAAATTTTATTTTGCAGCAAATAAAAAACGTTAAACTCTCCGCGTTCTACTACGTTCGAAGTTGCTCGCGCGACGGCGCTCTCGTGACTGACTGATCTCTTGGAGTCGTCGGAGAACGGCTCAAAGGTTTCAATATCACGCGTTCCATTGGAAAAAAAAACCAATGCTTTGGCGCGTAATGGAACGAATTCAAATTGGATTGTTATTGAGAATGTAAACAATTGGAAAGAGTACGACAAAAAAATATAATTAAATGGTAATTTTAATTGCGATAAATTACCAAATGAAGTTGCCTGGTAATTAGTGCATGCTTAAGTCTTAAGATTGGATTTAAATGTATATGGGGTTTTATTTAAATAAATAATAAATAAATAATTTAATGTTCTTACTGGACTTTCATTAGTATGGGATTTACTAATAGGATTTTTGAAATATTGGACTTGTATACAAAAACTTGTTAAATAATTTCTTGCCCAAATATTGAATGGTCTCTAACTAAACAGAAGAAAAACAAATTTTTGTGAAAAACAAAACAAAAACAAAAAAAATTATGTTTTTTAAGCTTCTCTCTTCCTCACTAAGGATAGTTAGTTCCTCAATCAATTCATAAATTTATAATACGATATTTTCTTCGAAAAATTAAGTATTTTACGTTCGTATTTGCCTTGAAAGTAGAAAACGGCTCCTTTTTTTAGGAAGATTTCGTAATTTTTAATACTATAAAAATACATAAATGATATAGCGTTTCAATAATACTTGTTTGCTCTAAGTTCTGGAGATAATTGCTTCCACATTTACTGAGATACTCCCACACAATAATGATGAGATAGACAAAAAAAAAAAAACAGTCGAATTAAGGTTCATCCAACTGTAATAGCTATTCTTAATTCTGTTGCCTGCCGAACCCCACTTCCAAATTATATTGCACACCCATTTTTGCACTAATTATGCATAATTTGTGGGTCTGCCAAAAAGTGTTTATCAGAACGCTGATATCAGAAATGTGAACCCAAACCAAACAATGTACGTACAAGAATAAAATCATGCATAAGCGATAAGCGTAACAGGCAATGTCTATATATAGTATATAGTAAGTAATGGTATACCTAAAAATAGGCATGGGCCGACTTACCCATAGTTCTGACCATAAACTCATCGTAGCCCATGAGCGGTGGCCAGGCACCCGATGGTGGGGTAATAGCCCCGACGATCCGCTCGAGCTCCAGCTCCATGTCGCCGCAAACTGAGTCATAATCATCGGGATCGTGCATTATACTTATATCTGAAGCTCTTAACACTGTTATATACTTTTAGGCGGCTGCTAATTATAGCTTAAAACACAATACCAAGTACAGCAACAGTCGGTTGCATTAAAGAAAGTCGAACGAAGAATTATTATATGGCAGTTGGTTTCAAGCACTCTTCACTTGGGAAGCTTATGTTGTTTGCTTCTTGAATGGCATTTGAGGGCGGCTTTCGCGTCAAGAACTTGGCGAACCGCACGCGTTTGAATTTAAAACACAACTAAGTGAGGGCAACCAATGTTTAAACTGAGCCAACTGTTTGCCTTCTCTAATCAACAGACGCTTTAACAATAAACGGTGGCTGCCATAAAAAATAAGCAAATGTCTCGCTCAACAACTGATTAGAATGAGTATAAAGAAATCCAAGACAGTCTGCCTGTTGTATTTGCACATAGATTGTAATGCTGAGATCTCTCAGGAGCGCATTTTGGGAGGCCAGTCGATCGTCAGTCAGTCAATCAGTCAGTCAATCAGTCAGTCAGATAGTCTGTCAGTTGGTAAATAAATAATAAAACAAAGTAAGTGGGTCTCTCGCCCTCTCTCAACTATACTCTTGAGTCGAGTCAAAGTTCTGCTCTCCCATGTCTGTTGTGGCGAAAGTAATGCCGAGCTGTGCGGGCCAAAAAGCCATATCTTATCAAGTGGGCACAAATTTTGGCTTGTTTGGTATGTGGGGAAACAAGGAAAAGTGGCAAACAGCTCACTGATAGCGCTATTCTTTCCAGCAGCAACAACAACAACTACAACCTACTTAACTGAAATGCATTTGATGTGAAATAAATCAACAAATCGCAATTACTGTTTCAAACTACTTGCTATACTGAAACTTATTTATTCAACGCGACAATTAGAATGCATTTAAAGTTTAAAGTTCGTCGATGCCCAATTAAATTGTAATTGTAATTGTGGTTAAGTGTTATAACCCATTTTATACTTGCATTAAAATGGCAAATTGAGTAGCAGATAAACTTTTCTTCATATACTTCTCCATTAAGGGCCTTTCAAAATCAAGAGCTATTCTTATATGCCCAAAAGCTAAATAAATGCACACACAAATTTTGGTGTCTGTAACCATCATAGTTTTCTAGATCAAGGCGTTCATACAGACAAACAATGAACAAGTATTCGAACGGCGATTTAGTTTTTTCAATGCAGACGTTTTCAATAAGATTGCTAGTTTTAGTATGTTCTTGGATTCATTAAAAGTTAGTTCAAAATTGTCAAAAAACTCTATACCACTAGATTCGTACCGCAGATGGTTGTACACTCCTGATATGTTTGGGATCGGTTTCAAGTCGCTTCAGACGCAATTTCTTCTTCCAACTACCATTTGGTAATTCCCCCCACTTCAAGTAATTACACATAAAATAAATAAAAACAGGCTTAGTCTTTTTTTTAAAACGGCACACCAAAGAAATACCTTCATTGGAATGTTAAAAATTTTTATTTAAGTTGTTGCACTTTTAATCTTTAATCATATACACATAGAGATGTTGTTGTATTTTATAGTTATCGTGTGTATGTATTTTTGTCCTTCGTTTTTTTTTCATTCTCGCATTTGCTGCAAACATTAATTGAGTTACTTGAAATTGTTGTTAATTAATTGCGGTTGTCTTTAATTTAATTACTTTTTTTTTTCTTTTTTGAAGAGCATTTGCTCTTGTTTGCTGTAGAAGTTTTGCTAAAATTGTTTGATATGTTTATTGATATGTAATATATTTGTTGTAGTTGTTGCTGTGTGTGTGTTTGTCGAAAAACTATTGTTGGATTTACTTCGAATTACTATAATTATATTCAGCATAAAAGGGCGTTAAAAAATGCCAAAAGTTTGTTTCAATTTAAATAAAGTTAAGCTTAAGTTTCCATTTCCATTTTCAAGTAACAAAAGGTATTTCGAATTATTGGCTGATTTTGAAAGTTAAATAAAAATTGTTTAATTTCTTGTTGATAATAGTTTTGTGAAATTGTTTCAGCATTTTAATGGTTTATTGGGTCAGTTTTGGGCTTAAAACACTGAAACAAGTTACAAAATTTGAAAAAAACAGAAATTTTTAAATCAATACTTTTTAGATCAACGTTTTTTTTCATCTATACTTTTCACCGATATCATATCTGATATGTTTTCATTTGTTCAATCGATATGTTGCATATTTTTTTGCAATAGTTTATTAACTTGATTTCCATCCTTTTTAGCGGCCTGCTTAACTTTCTAAAACATTGTCTGGCAAGTCCGCCGATATGTATGCGATATAGTTTGTTTGCTTAACATTTACTCTCAATATCGTTAATATATAGTACGCATATATAGTGTTTATATTTTGCTTGTATATTGAATTGAAAAATTTTAAAAAATATGCACAAATAAACGCACAAATATGTTGCACAAATCGTAAGGATAATGTTTAGAGAGTTTGTTTTTGGGCTTCAAATAAATGAGGTGTAAAAAATTTGTTTTTGTTTAACAATGTATACATTTAAAAATACTCGTGTATAATATAAGTAGGTAATAATTTTCTTTGAAAAACTCAAATTATCACTTTGTAGTTTTCATGTTTTTTTTTTTATCTTTTGTGTTTTTGCGTTCAACGAACATTTGCATCCTCATCGAATCTGTAGTTTGTCTCTCTATTTACACGGGGCATATACACACATATAGATATTTGTTGTATGTGGATATATAGTATATTTACTTTTTAAGTTATAAGTTAATATTTGTAGGCTTACATTAGTAGCTTCTATATATATGTATACATATATTTATATATATATATATAGTTCAATGGATCGTTTTCATCTTTTATTCATTATCAATAAGTTTACTCTTAATTTGTTTAGTTTTCGCATTTTGGATAAAACATATAGTATATGTATGTTGTTTGTGTTTGTTTCAACTTTTAAGTAGACAACTAGTAGTTAAGGTTTGTTCAAATAAATAAGTATAGTTTACTTGTTAAAATCTTTGCGTTCTTCTCCATAGTTTCATTTATGTTACTAACAGCTAATTCAAGGTACTTATAACTCCATTATTTTAATTTTTTTGTTTCTAATCAGTGTTTGTTTTTTAACTTTTTGTTGCATTCATTTTGCTGCATTTCTCTATTATTTCTGTTAGGTTGTACTGCTCGAGAACGTTGGGTTCGTTTACTTTCTGCTCTGTTTTCTGCATTCTTCAACTTTCATTTGTGCTCTTCTTTTTAGTCACTTAGTCGCAATTCCATGCTCTTTTATTCTTTGTTTCAACAGCTTGTTTTTGGGCATTTGAATATATATTGTATACTATATATATGTATATTTGATTCTTAATTTTTAAAATAGTGCAACGACTTCCCTAGACTTTCTATATAATTTTTTGTCTGGGTTAAATATTTTTGTTAGAGTAGCCAATTTTGTCACTCGATTTGTTCGGTTCGTTGGGTCAGTTTCCTGCCACAAAATTGGCTGCTCAAACTTTACAATGAACTCTCGTTTTGGTTACCAAATTTTCTATATTTTTTTTACTAAATAGAAAGTATTTAAATAAAACTAATGAGAGTGGTCGGAAAAAGCAGCTTAGGCTATCGATTTAAGAACGTTAGTAAAGCGGTATAATTTTTTTTATATATTTTTTAAAAACATTTTTAAATTTTTTTTGTCATTTTATAGCTTGTTTTTGATTGAACATAATAATATTTATGCATATTTGTAGACACATTAGTTGGTTTGAATCCGTGAATTATGCAACCCAATTGTTCTTAATGGGTGTCTGTGTCTCTTCATTATTTGGGGGCGTTAGATGATTAGTAGCCCGGCGAAATTCTAGGGGGTTCCAAAAATGTTCTTGTTTTTTGGGGCGCTTTTGTCATTGAATAATTAACTTCCTAATATTTAGACAATAAATAAGTGCTGTAAATATGTATATATAAATAGATATGTATGTATATATCAACATTTATAGGTTGGTTGCACGTTGAAACACCGATGCCTGTTTGACAATCGAACAACAATAGCTGCAGGGCTTTCTAGTTACACTACTATGCTTAAGAATAAGACTAGTACGGGTATGTTTCTAGTGCTTCTGTTTCTGTTTGGACACTGATAGTAAAAGTTATCATTTAAATAGATAGTTGCTCCAAAAGATACTTCTCTAGTGGTTTTGGAAGGTTCATTACTGATAGCCTCGGTTGAAACATACAATAGGATATCTGCTTGTCTAGAGGTTCTTGTAAGCATTGTGAAACACTCGGATATACATAAGTACATAGATTGAGAAAATTACTTACTTATCTGTTTATAAGAAATAAGTCTGATATATAAACATTATACAATATACATATATATTTTGTTCGTTACCATTTTAGTTTTGCTTTAAGTTTTTGTTTTCCATTTTGCCGAACGATCCTGCTTCCACATTTTAAGTTTGCATGAAGTTTTTCTTGTAATGTTTATTTGAAATATTCGCGCATTAATTTTCTCGAAGTTTGACAAAAGTTACTTTATTTCCAACAAAATCAATAATGATATATAGCAGAGTATAGAAAAAACGCAGATGAAAAAGCGCAGAAAATTGGGAGAAAGCTTTTCTTTATATAATTTTGTAAAGAGCATTCGATTGGCTTATTTTTCTTCAAAACTTTTCTGATAAGTAGTCAAAAGTAGCATAAATAATTTTTTTTTTTTCATTTTTTCTATAGGTTTTGCAATTTTTTTTTCTGTTTTGATTTTGCGTTTTTTGTTATTTTTGTATAAAAAGTGTTTGGTGAGGTTTCGAAAAAGAGCAAATAAATGAGAAAAATGTTGTTGGGTAGGCTTAGTAAGCAAAAACTGAAAGTTTCCAAAATTGATTAACTCAACAAAATTGCGAAGAGTTTGAGAAAATATCGTGTGCATGTTTATGAAGGTCTGCTTATGTATGTGTGTGTGTGTGTGTGTGTGTGTGTGTGTGTTTGATGAGTAATGGAATTCGTATTTGGGGGAACACCTTCTAATAATTGTAGTTATCATAGGGTGTACCCAAATACGAATAGAAATTAGGATTGATGGGCTGTGAGTGTGCATAATAAAATCCAGAAGCCGGATCTGGCGCTACTCAGTCGAGGAAACCGGTGTTCACCAATTTCTCCAAGAAGAATTTCACATCACCGAGCTCCGAGTCCTTGATGCCAAGCGATTTCAACATGCCAAGATCACCATTTTCAACGGCCATAAAAACGGAGCGCAAGTGTTCTAAATCCGATCTGTAAAAAGGTAGAATAAGAATTCGTTATATTAGACAAACTAATTGAAAAGCTGAGCTATTTTAAAATGAGGGTCTTGTTTAAAGGTTTTTATGTTTAAAAATGTCAGCACTTTTATAAATTGGAATGGATAATCACCAAAAATAAAGTCGATGCCACGACATGACTATACTAATGATATATCTATACTAATTTGCAAGTGGTTCTCAAGGATAAAGCTCTATATAAGATGTATTTTTTTTTTATTTTCTAAAAACTTGCAATCAGCTTGACCATTTTTTAATTGTTCCAGGCATGTTCACAAAACTTATGTTTAGAGCAAAGGTGCACAGAAATCGATATTTTCGATATTTATTTCCTAAAAATAAAATCGATAAAAAGTAAAGTTTTATTCTCATTTTCGATAAGCTAATTCAAGTAATTATGTCCTATTGCAAGTTTGTATTTGAATTTATACGACTAATCACTTCTACAAGAATAAATCGATTTTTATCTCAGACATCTGATAAATTGGTTCTGAATCATTTTATTGCAGCTTGAGTTTAGTGTACTTATGTATAACAATCTATAACGATCAGCTAATATCGAAACATTGCAAAATAAAAATACATCTTATTTAAATTGAAAATGTTTACCCACATCGATGTGTCTATATTTTTGGGGGAATAAAATCGATGAATCCAACTTCTACTAATGGAAAATTTTCAAAAACTCTATATTAATGCTAATACATAGTGTATTTCATATTAAATAAATTAAAATAATTAAAAAGCCTAATGTTTCTTATTATACTCATCTTATTCTTATCCTTCTTCAGGTTTTCTCTCATCTCCAATGGAGTTGCTTTTTCATAATCTACATGCAATAATATCCTTCTATATTTATTAATTTTTTTTTATTATTAAATTAGGTTTTTTATTAGCTTTTCCCGCGACGTTTTTTTTTCAGTGAAAAGGTAATGAAAAACATCGCACATCAGAATAAAAAACATCGCTGTTCGAAATAAATTACAAAACGTATATCGTAGTATAGAGTTGAGGGAAAGAGTATGCATTTACTGACGTCATCAAGGTTTTCGTTTAATTACAAGTTGTTGTTACATAGTTGCCGAACCACTGTTCACAACTACCTCTAATAGCAACCTCTAAAAAGCAACATACACACACGAGGGAGTGCACACAACCACAGATAACAGCAACTACCACAATAACAATAACAACAAGAACAAGAACCAAACTTTTCTACCCGTACCCCGTACTCCTACTAAGTACAATGCCTGTCTGTCTGTACTCGTATGTGTATGTATGTATGGATGTGTCTCGCTTAATTAATCCCTGCAGGTGTCGTTTGTCGGTTTTGTGTTGTCGCCACAGTTCTTGTTTTTGTCCTCATTCCCATACATGTTGCCACATATTATGGTGGCTGTTGTTGTTATTGTTGTTGTTGGTTTAGCTCTGCAACTTCATTATCCTCATCCTCAACAAAATTACCCAAAAACAGGACCGAAATAAAAGGGAAAAACTGTGCAAAATACACATTAATAAAATTTGCGGGCTTGCGCTACAACGCGAACTGACTTTGCCGTCAGATTCGTCCCTCCTTCTTCGTCACGCTACAGACAACTTCGTCACAAAACACACATACACACACACTCACACATACATACACATTTACACAACACTCTAGCAAATGGCATTGCGGCAACTTATGCGATTAATTGTGTTGATGAAATTTTGTAAAATGTGTTTGGAGGACCAAGTCAAGCGGTTAGAGCTCTCCTAGTCCTTTGCCGCATCGAGGACGTGAAGTGTACGAACGTTTTTGCTAATTTATCAACATGTGCGTGAACTTTACGTGTCTGGTCTGTTACCTTGTTATTTTCATTATGCACGCATCTACATATATATGTACATATACACACCTACCCATACTATATATACGAAGTATACGAGTGTATTCGTATGTGGCGAGATTGTCTGACTTGTCACTGTCATTGCTATTATTTTTATTGCTTGCAGTTGTGGCCATTTCTTGTTGTATTAATGAAATGAATGTTTTCTTTTCTTTCTTTCTTTCTTTTCCTTTTGTCTGCATTTGTTGGTTTTGCTCGAATGTTGTTTTCGTACGAATTTTATAATTAAATTAAAGAGCTCCCTACAAGAAATAGCTTAAATACGTTTTATACTTTAGAGGATCATGTAAAAAAAAAAAATTCTATCTATCTATTTTTATTCTATACTCGAAAAGTTTAATCACGAATTATGACATTATTTATAATGTTAATCTTTCCATTATTTTTGATGATTAGAAAAATGTTTCATCACATTTTTAAAATATACCCCTATCCAATATATATTTAATATCGTAACAAAAATTAAATGTTGATTTTAAAGAACGTCAAATTTAGAATTAATTCAGAATTTATTTATTTTTGAGCTACAAATTTTCACGGAAAAAAATGTCAGTCAAATATTTTATAATAAAATAACAATTTTATTTTATCTTTTATTATTATATAATCAATTCTTTTATCAAATTAATAATAATTTACCTTGGTTTTCTTCTTTAAATTTATACAAAATTAAATTTTTACTTGGAATTGTTTAAAATAAATTTAGAAAGAAAAGAAAGAGTCTAATGATTTATTTTTAACAATATCAAATACCAGCTTGCAAAATTGACTTACAAAATTCAGTTCAAAGACATTCCAATTGTTACAAAAACTTTATGCAAACAAAAACGTTGACATTCCAGGCAAATAAAAACAAATAAATCCGACCATTGTTGCTCTTAATTAAGAATAGTTTTTATTATAAATATGTAAAAGCCTTGTTGCCATGCATTTGGTCAACGAAAAGCCCTAACAACAATCTACAACTAGGGTGCAAAATTTCTAAAATAAACACACTCGCGCAATAAACCTAGGGAGACAAATCCTCCGGCTACAGAAAGAAGACACTTTTCGAGCACACAAAGTGTAAGCATAATTCAAAGTTTTATGAATGTATATACATATTTTTAACTTTTGGTTACCATCCCCGAAGCGCTTAGATACATGTGAGTGGATGTGTGTACATATGTTCATAGCACACACACACACAAACACACACACACACACATATGTAAGTGTATAGTGTACATGTTGCGGGCACATGTGGTCAGAGCATTCAAGAGCATAGTCAAGGACATTGGCTTACGACACAGAGCAAGGAACAAGCAGAATTCCGAGTAGGTTGGATTTAAAAACTGGTCCGAGTAAGTGGGTAACAATAGCCAGGGGCCCCATAGGATGACAAAGCATGTACACACATGTGCTTGTACATGTCCTTAAATATCCTGTGACCCGTACGTACATAGCCAGACAATAAAGCGAGTAACATGGTAAGCCAAAAAATAGCTGCCAGCATTGCCAAATTTATTTAAGAGCTTTTATTATTTATAATACATTTTTGAATCTTGCTTTACATGTTTTTATTTCCACCCAAGGCGCCGAATATAAAACTTATCTCGTCAAACAAAAGGATTTCAACACACGACCAGGCCAGTCGGCAGTCGCAAATGCTTCATTAAAGCATCTCGGGCCCTCAAAGTGTACCCTCGGGTATTTTTTAGATTTCAGGTGCTGTTCGGGCGGCAGCTTCATTAAAAAGGGCCAAGAAGTTGCAGTCAAGGATATGAATTATGCAAGGATACAAAATCTTAATTCTTTAATGCTGCAAATAACAATAAATCCCCACTAATGCATACAACTGAATATGATATTTTAGAATAATAGAAAATAATTTTTTTAACAGTTAATATTAAGCAAGGCACAACATGTTAAGCAAACTTAAAAAAAAATCACACTTTTCTGAAGGCTGCTTTGAATTGGAAACTCTATTTTGAAAACACATTAAATTGTTAAATTTATTTAGCAACAAGAATAACATTTAATTCGTCGTATGAATATATCCTTGAGCTGTTACACTTTTCTAAAAGCAACAAATACTAATACACATGTATAATATAAAGAATTCGACCTTCAGAAGGATATGCACAAATTTAATTCTTTAGCTAAGTATTGACTGTTTTGCGTTTGAAGTGTAGTTGGAATTGTGTAATTGGGTTCGATTTGGTTCTGGCAGGCTTCTACAACATTTTATAACTCTAGGTAAATGCTGCAGATTGCTTTACATAATGCCCTTATGCCCTATCACACTTTCAATCTGCTCGATCTTTGATTAGTTCTGGCCGTTTTAAGTTAAGTTTTTTATAAATTTTTAAATTTAAATTTTTTCTTCTGGTGTAACTCTTTGAAGCCTCTATCAACCCATTTACAGACTTAATAAGGCAGTGAAGCAGTCCGACCATAAACCACACTGTCGTTGTTGTTCATATAGCTCGGGCTATTTGCTTTTACAAATACTATAAATATGAACAGCACAATAAAGCTGACGCTATTTAAAAATACATATTTAAAAGATCTATTAGTTAAGATGTCCCGCGCTAACAAATGTAATTTCTGTGTCTTTTTGGAATCGTTAATTTGTTTAAAATACTTGGACAAACCATTTGATCGAAATTTATTTCGTTCCAGAAAAGCTTATTCTCCTTTTGTAGAGCTAAGTATAGCATTTAATTTTCTTGGTAGCTGTATACAGAACATTGCTCTGATGATGAGAACCCATTTCGATTTAAAGTCAATAGTAAAGTCTGTCCTCACTTACCTCATTAGGTGCAATGCAGCGCCAAAGTCCTCAATCGTTTGCGATTCACTCAAAGCGATGGCGACCTTTTCGACCCCACCCAAAGGCGAGAGGGCGTCACGTGCCTTGCTGCCAAAAAGTTTCTCCAAATAGTTGGGGCCATGCGAAGCGATTAAGCTTTGCAAGAATGATGCAGTTTCCTCGACAGGCGGGCGTTTGGCTACAAAAAAAAAGGAGAAGAAATTTAAAAAAAAAGGTCAGTCAAAGTTGAGGGATTACAAAAAATATTCACTAGGTAAGGGTTATTCGTGAAACTGTGATAAATTTCTGGTAATTAGATTAAAGTTAAGTTCGTGTAAGTTCTCAAGTGCCGACAAGGGTAGGGATTCTTCAAAACTTCTTGGGCTTGGGTTACATATTTGAGACACTTTCAAACAAATGCTAACTGGACTAAGTGTGTACAGTTTCTGGAGTGGATAGAGTGGTTTTTCCACAAATGGAAGCTACTCTTGTGGTGTGAGAAGCGTTCAAATTGCTCTGTCAAAGTTTTAAATAACCTTCGATTTGTTTCTGCCAGTCATGCAACATTTTTCAAAGACTTTAAAATCAAAATGAAAATAAATGCAGTTTTTCTGCCCTCAATTGTAATTGGATTAATCAGTTTTTAATAATTAACATACGCATGAAAAAAGGCTGTTAATTTATTTTACACATCAATAGCATTTGTTGTTTTACAAATTAAATGTAATTTCATTTGATAGCCATATTGACAAGTGCATTTTTTTAGTTCATTATGGAATTCAATGGGGTTTTTTTTTTTTATTAAGTATGACAAGCTTTTAATGACACAGCTCATGATTAGTAAAAACAATTATGTTTAAGCCCTAGGATACTTAAAAGTTTTTCATATTTTCTGTATGTATAAATTCAGGTTGGAACGTTAAAGAACAGTTTGCTGATGGCCGTTTTCCTACTTATATTTATGAAAAAAGCAATTACGATAAAAGGGAGCGGCTCCTAAGTAATAAAGAGCACTAAATAAAACAAAAATTAAACAACTTAGAAAAACTTCCCTTAAATTTGAGCTTCAAAGAAGTTTTAGATTAATATAATTCTAATTGTGCAAACAATGGAAAAGAAGCAAGATATTTAGACATATTTGCATGGAAAATGGTTAATTTAAAGGAAGAAAGGTATTTTTCAATAAACTTCATAGATATCTTAACAGAAAGTTAATGTCAATATACAGTCAGCAATAAGTTGATTCGCAGTCTCGAAACAATTTTTTTTGCCTCTCCAAAAGCAAATTCATACTAGCTTACAGCTGAACTCTTTACAGCGAGTATGCTCTGGATTCGTGAAATTAAGCGAAATAATGTCCTGAATTCAATTTCGATTAAGCTTTAGAGTCTAGTGAGGATATATTCATGAACCACAAAGTTATCAAACTGAGTGAGTTTTTCATCGATAGTTTCTACAAAATAAGTACAATGTAATGAGGCTATATTTGGATTGAAATAAGCTTGCTCTGTGCAGGGATAAGGAAAGTCTATACACCAAGTTTGGCGTCCGTAGGTACTATGGTTCAAAATTTGCTTACTATATGTACCCTTCTTCTATCTGTTATATACATAAGGCATTTAGTTATATTTCAGTATACCCTTTCTGGTATATGGCTTTATAGGTTTTAATGATCAGACAGCAATTTAATTTTTACACAAATTAGTAACATTTTTCATTATAAAAGTTGTTTATTTTAAATGAGAGATTGCCCTTGATTTGCATTATTATTGTTGGCTTTTGAATGAAAGAAAATTGATTGAACAAAATTGCTGTAAAAACTATTTGTATAAAAAAAACATTGACAACTAAACATGATGGCAAAAAATTGATATTCGACAGTAAAAAACACGAACGTTCGACGTATTATAGATTTACATGAATTGCTTTTTTTATTTGAACATTTCTTTCGGTTTCGTGCAACATTTTCATTTTATTCCGATACATCGCCAATAACGAGTGTCTGTACTTGTTTTTTGTTGCAATTAATGTAAAATATGAATGTACATTTACGAAAATGAAGTACATTTATGGAAAATTCCATGAGCATGTTGTTTTCTTTTTTTTTTTTTTTTTTTTTTGTAAAAAATGTATATATAATTTATTAAACTAGTTTTCTACTACCAATATGGCAGCTTAAGCTAGTTGAAATTTAGGGAATACAAAAGTTGTCTATAGTAAGCATCTATAGGACGCAGTTACATCTATGTACATATATACAATATTTACAATGTTTTACATGAAAAATGAAATTATATTTTATGATATATACTATAATTTTATACAAGGGATCTTGTGGGGAGATCCTTTGGATGGCACTTCTTCTATGTTTTTTTCGATTGCGAATCAAAATTGTATTGCATACTTTCAGGTTCATAGTTTTTGTTTGGTCGCCTTTTTATCGTTAATTCTCCCATTTTATGAATCTTTCCATTCTGTTTTTTTGGGTATAATTGCTATTGAGTTAAACTTTTCCTTAATACTAGCCAATTAATAACTCTAATACTAATTTTTATTCCATAATTTAAATACAAATTTCGTCGAAAAAGAAAATAATGCAAATAATTAAATATATCTTTTCACCTAGTGTTGAATTTATAAGATAGCTTTAACAATTTAATATTCTCATTGCCAACAGCAGCCTCGAATAAATGGCTCTAGAACTGCAAACACAGCACGTTATCGTTTTCTTATATAAAATGGCATTAATTTAAGAAAACTCATTTAATTTTATGGGTTTCTTTTTGTTATTCCCACACACCTTTTGGATTCCCATGCGTGTTCTAGTTGCCCAAACAAAATGAAGTGCAGGTCAGCAAATAAAACTTTAATGCATTCTCACACATACTCGTACGGGAGTGTGGAAGAACTGAATGGGGCTAAAGGTCGGCAACTCTATATACTATATATTTTTTAAAAAAGGTGTTTTAATTTTTAAGCAGCCACGAAACGATGTTAAGGCCAGCAAGTTTAAATGCAACAGCAAGAGTGGCCAACAAGGCGTATGGGTAATGGGAAATGTAAATTAAAATTAAATAAATAGCTCTATATCAGCGTGCATTTATAGGTCATTCAAGTAGTAGATATGTCAGTCAGTCACTCAGGCAGTCAGGCAGTCAGTTTAACATATAAAAGGGCACATGTCGACTTCAGTTCACTTTTCACGTTTTTCTATTTCGGGGCCCTGCACTTGTTAACCCCTGTTAACCCCCACATATGTGTGCTGACTGTTGTTAGCATTTTTAATGGTTGCAAGGACACGTATCTAGATGGCAGCATACATATGTGTGTGTGTGTGTGTGTGTGTGTGTGTGTGTGTGTGCTTCTATGGACGTGTGTGTTGATTCAGTTACTGACTGTATTTGTTATGCAAATGGCCCCGTTTGCAAGTATGTCTGCATATGTATGTGTGTTTATTCGTATATACACATCGTATATGTATGTATGTGCAAGTACTGTTCGTCTATACGCTACACACTTGGGCCGACGCTTTGGGAACTCCATGTTGTGCCGCATGTGGCGTGTTCGTGTGTGTGCAGTGTTTGCCTTTAACTTGTTACATATTCCACCGATGTATATCTGTAGTTTAGATAAGCCAAAGGCAGTTTTGCATGAAACCCCTGCAGCTAACCCACTTTGCTCACGTGTGCTGCCACAGACAGCATATTAGTTACTTCCCAAAACTTGTAACAGTCAGAATTGGAGCAAATTAAATAATCAGTTATATCCGTAAATTAATGCAGATCTAAACAAAGTGCTTCTACCAATTACACCTTGTTTTTAAATGAATAAAATATTCATATCGGGAAGTAGTTCTCATTTAGTCAATCAATTCCATCGTTTAATAATTTGTTAGTAAAACAAATATTTAGAAATGTACATGACAGCAGTTGTGCAAGCGTTATATATTTGTTATTTTGTTGCAGTTAATTAATATTTCATGAGCAATTAGTATATTCATGGGCCAATTAATAATATGGTGAGGGATTTTAGTCGCTCTCTTTTTAGAGATTCAAAGGCTATACATTTCTTAAAAATAAATAAGTTTAATTTCAATCAAAATTGTGTAAATAAAAATAAATATTGATATTAAATAAATATCCTTACTTCATGTCTCTACCAATTTCGTTAATCTTCTTAGATGAATAGACCATTCGAAAGTCGACCTCACTTGACTTATGTCATGTTTATTTTCTAGCACTGCAGTATGTGCAAAAAAAAGCAAAGTTTCTTGTTGATAAAGGCGTACATTTGCACAATGTTCAGCCGAATTCATGTTAATTTCCCCCGGGTATTCGAGTGCAGCGCATTAAAAGTTTGTGTTACATTTACTCCTTTTTCTTGGAATAAAAAATGCTAGTTGTTTTGTCAAAGGCAATTTGGTAAATTCTATTGTCCTCAAGTTGAAGGTACTTATTGTGCAGACTTTAAATGCAATTTGTTCTATCAATTTAAAGTAGTGCTCTGCTAGCTAACTACCAGTTGTGTGGGAACACTTTATATTACAAGTAATCCTAAGCCACATTGTTTCAGGCACGAAATTGAAGAAGCCTTCGGAATACACACCGCAGACTGCGCTCTGCCCATCTCTAATTTATAGCCGAAAGCGCACATAAGCTCTGCGTACTAATTATTAGTCATTAAGAAACATTTTGGCTGCCCCCGCAAGACACACTCCTATGCAATTAGCCCGCAAGAACAATGGCCGCGGGAACAACAACTACAGCCGTAGGAAACATAAACAACAAACTCGAAATGCGTTAAGCTGCGAGCCAACAGCAGCAACAGTAATGACAACAAGAACAAAAGCTTGGCATAAATTGTTGGCACTAAAAGCCAATAGAATTCGCCACTTTCGACTGTTGCCGTGGTGTAGCCCACATTTTGGGTAACTTGAGATGCACGGAGGATGTGGGAAGCTGGCGCATAATTTATCAAAGACATGAAACGCAATAACTAATGCCAACACCAAGCCGGCACTTCCTAAATGATTTCATTGTCGAAAAATAGTTATTTTCTCTTTCATTTTCTTTGCCAGCAAACGCAACGCCACACTCTGAATGTACAGTGGTGGCAAATGCATTGTGGTCACAGTTTTTATTTAAATAGAGTGTTGCCATTACTTTTAGGCTAGAGTGCGAAAATATTAAAAATCCCAAAGCCTGAATGTGGTAGTCAACAAAGTATAAGAAGAGCATAAAAGGAATGTTATAAATAAGCCGATAGCTGAAATTCTTTTTTTGTGCATATTTGCAGAATCTTGAAAATTTGTAAAATGGAAATTAAAAACGGATCCAAGATGCTAAAGTGTTTGATTTGACCTGACTTAATATGAATAGGCCCATTTACTATTTTAGTGGCTCACTAGTGTATCAGTCGCGACGGTTGTAGGCCCTAGATGCTGGGTCATCCGAAAATTTTAAGGCTCTGCTGTTTCGAACTTTTCTTTCAAAGTTTTCTCGGAAACCTTATGATTCTGGCTAAACTTGAATGGTAAACTGCAGCTGTAGGAGCTGAGCTTAAGAGACAGAAGAGTTTCGCCATCAATTGTTGGACTCTAGTTCTCAAGTCGGCGGGCGTTCTAATAAATGGAAAATAGTTAAGAGAATTACATAATTACAACAAGGAAAAACTTTTTTTATTTTGTGGATATTTTCTTTGTTTGATAACAGTTTCAACTCAAGCTTTTCAACATCTCCAAAAGCTGTAGTTTCTTAGTGAAAATATATTTATGGCCACCACTGTTTCTGACTGACACATACATATGAACTATAAGAATAACAATACGTATAGCATTGAACAAAGCAAAAATGTTGCGCCATTGTGCCGGCTGGCTGTCTTTGCCTGCTGGCCTAAGTCCTCTCGTCCGCTCCAGTCTCCCCATTGTGTACATGGACTTTTCTGGGTGGATTTGCAGTCAAGTGTATTGTGGCAATTAGCCAGCAACAATTTGCTGTTTGCTTAAAGTTTCGCTTTCCGTTTGTTTTGTTTGGCTTGGCCAAAAAATTAGAAGCACAATTTGTGGCTCTATTGTTTGCACACAGTCTGGATTTTAAATTTATCACAAGCGCCCAAGTTATACGCTTCGTTCCACGTGGCGTATGATGAATGGAATGAATGAAAGTTGAATTTTACGTGCACATAACTTGCTTAATTGCTGGTTGGTCTGCTGCTCTTTCAAGCCAGTCGGCCGCTTTATAAATTTCATTCACAATTTTGTTCTTCATTGACTTAAAAGCTATAGGTTTTCATTTTGCCGATTCTTTTTGATTTTACTGCAAATTCATAAATTTGTTGTGCGAAAATTTCATTGTCATGCGACTTGTTTTAATTGCACAGCAATTTATTTAATTACTTTACTGATTGCATGCAATTGTGGGACGCTACTGAAAGTGATAAATCAGAGACAGAGGCTTTGCCAATAAATTGAATGTGTGCGATTGCCGAATACTGAAAAAGTTGAAATAATTGAGTGTGGGAAGCTGGGAAAAGTTTCAAGAGTAGTATAGTTTATGGAAAATATTCAATTATTAACGCACGAGCTCAATTAAAACTATCAATGAAGTTGTGGAATAAAATATAACAATGATAAAAGGAAGAACAATTTGTTGAAAGAAAAAGTAGGCTTCTTTATACCATAAAGAGTTAATGTTGAATAGGGTATCAAAACAGACTAAATATGGCTAAGATAGTGAGTATGGCAGTGAATATATAATTCACGTATTTGCTTTAATATTACTAGCCCAAATAATTAAGGCTTTTATCAATATAATTGTATGGCCTATCATTAGTCAGGTAATTCCTTAGCTATGGCCTTAAAAGGCATGAATTATCCTTATATGATTGAAAGCAGAAAAAGCGCCGAGCGATTAAAATTTCATTCTATATGAGATACAGAATTAAAATAAATCGTGGTAGTATTAGAAATAGGTATTGCAATTGCATCGAATTACAATAAAACTAAACCGACTAAACATCGTATAGATTAGCATTGAAGCAACATAAAGATGTCTGTCGATTAGCTATAATCATTATGGCGTCAGATGGCGAAAGTATTGCCTAGAAAAGCCATTGAGTTATTAGTGTTCTTATATCAGACACCGATTGAAATCAAATTTAAAAAGTAATAACAATTTGTACTAATTATTAATTAACTCGCAAATTACTTACTAAGATAGAAGAAAGTATCTATAAATATTTTTTGTTAAGCACTTTCGTTTCAAAGGTAACTTTATGCAGAAATTCAATCAAGTTGAAAAGATAATTTTATATACAAACATATTTCTTGTAACCACACACTATAATGTTGAAAAAAAACCCCTTTTTTGGTTGTCAGTCCAGCAAACTTCTGCAATCTGTGCCAGCTGAGCAACAATGTCAAAACTTTGCCGCATAGTTTACACGGCTATTCCCTTTGAAAAACTTGACCGCTCAACAATATGACAAGATGGAGAAACTTTTTGATTTGCCACAACTTTGCTGCTGCAGTTTGGCTAATTTAATTGGGTTCAACTGAGCAGCAGCATGTCAAAACTTCTGTGTGGAAATCTTGGAAAGTGCAGCAACTGCAGAGCCACAGACTCGGGTCTGACACAAACTTGGCTATAACTCATTTCATATTTCAAATAACCTTGGCAGATGAGGCACACATGCTTACCAAAATTGAACATGAATTTGTAATTTCCGGCTACATGTGGCTATAATGGGAAATAACGTAATGCTAGCAACTTGACAGCAGGCAGACAGCATAATAACCAAGAAGATGAGCACCAGCTAGGATGTGTGTGTGTGTGTGAATTGAGCAAATATCAAAGATTGCGCTGTCATAAAAATAATCCAAATTGCCAAAGGTATATAATTTTTAAATGGAATTACTTATATTTGGTGAAGGCAAGCAAAAGTGAAGAGTATAGTTTTGCTTTAATTACATGTACTTTTTTGATTTGGTTTGAAACTACAAATTTGCAATTTAAAAAACACTTTTTTTTTCAGTTTAATTCTTTATTATAAGTGGCCAGCAGCACTTATAATACTTGTATATTTTTGAAAACACATATATACTATATAAGCAGTTGGTGCGTTAGTTCTGCATTCGGCATTACTTGAAACATTCCTATACCTCGTAACCACACAACAAACCCACTGTTTATAAATTACAACAATTTCAGAAAATATTTAGAATATATATTCGGTTCCGATTTAGATGATATTTTTCGCTCTCGATTTGATTTATTTATACCATTTATAAAAACCTTCTTTAGGTTTTTGCGAAATTTAAAACTCAAATTTAATTCAAGCACTGCATTCAATTGATAAGCATTTACAATTTTCGCGAAATTTGTTTAAAAAGTGCAATGGGAACAGGTCTGCATATTTAAGAAAAGTAAAAGTATTTGTTGTTGAGGCATAAGATTTCTATATTTCCGAAATAATGTTTGATCTTATGTTCACCTATTCTTAACTACAACTTGGCTATTGAAAAATAAACATGGCTTTTGATTTCTGATTTCAGAGTCTAGAATAGTGATGTCTTTTCATCAACATTGAATTTATAGTCGGCTTCGCTGAGAATTTGAAGCTTCTAAATCTGTAATGCTCATTTGGAAAAGCGTTTTGGCTGAAACTCTATTAAAAGACTACGAAATTTTCACCTCTATAGTAAACATGCCAAGGTTTCTGAGACTTTAAGAACTTTTAATGGCAGTTAGCTTTGAGTGCGTCTCTCGAACTAAAATTTAAGTTGATCTCAGTGCTCTCATTTCAACAAACTATCAGGTGATATTGTTGCGCAAATATATCAACAAACAACAGCATGAAGTTCTGCATTCATTATTGAACAATTGAAACTGAAAGCAAACGCCAGCTTCTTAATAAGTTTTGCCATTTTCTTAAACTGCCACCATATTAAGAAAATAAAAGTAATAAAATCAATTTGCTCATTTAAATTCTTGAAAGCTAAAATAACTTCCTGATTAAACATCCTCTCAAAGTAGCCATCTTCTTTAGAATAAACAAAGAATATCCTTTCATTCGTGCACACATTTGCACCATCTATCCGGTTTAAACTGCCTCTTGACTCTCAGAGCTGCTTCAGACAGTTCGGTGCGACCACAAGACCACAAACTGGTCTATTTTTTCAGACTGGTGTTATAAATTGTTTTGATTCTGATTTGAATGGGGCGTCCCGTTAAACATTGCCAATTATTTACGACTGGCAGTTTGCATTCAATTAGCAGCAACTTTTGGCCCATAGGCAGCCTAAGAAGCCGAGAAATTCACACAATCTGCATAAAATATCTCCGACAATTGAAAAACACTTAAACTTACCCGCTGTGCAGAGACGCATGTCCTCGTCGTAGCCGTCGGAGCAATCGGGCGCACCATCGCATAAATATTGTATGGAAATGCAATTACCATCGCCGGGGCATTTGAACGGTTCGTACGGATGGCAGGCATCTGGAAAATAGAGGAAAGCCAACATGAGCACCAAACTTGTTCAAAAGCTTAAAGAGCAAACAAGAATTCTTGTGTGGACGGAGATTAAATTGTGAGCCCCGAGTAAGACATAAAAATGCAAATATGTATGCGCTCGAAAATTGCAATGGTCGTAAAGTAAGGAAATTATTGTTTAAGGATGAGATGGGATTGTCTCTCAGTGTGTGTGGCGTCAAAATTTAATGGCTGCCCGGAAAATTGTAATATTGTACGCCCATTTGTATGCAATGTTTATTTATTTTCGCCCCCTGTAAGCGGATTTGTAGGCTATCGATTTTTATCCTACTTTTCAAACAGACAGAACATACCTTCTGTCCTCTCCTTTTTTTGTGGCTTTAATTTGTGAGCTCGGGGTAATGTATATTCGTGTGCGACATTTGTGTAACAAGCAGGGGGAGACATGTTTGCTTTTATTTCTGTGGGGATTTGTGTTGCATTGGGATTATGTTATGTGTCTACTTGTGGGCTGAGTTGCGCTTCGGTGCGCTCAATTGATATTTGCAATCGAGCGCAACAGTTACATCTATGTGGGGATTAAAGTGCTTTGCTCGTTAGTTTAACTGCAAGCCTTCATTTTAAAAATAAAAAAAAGGTGAAGTCTATTAGAACCATCCTATTTCTTATGCAAAAACTGCGTTTCATTAAACAGCTTACTGACTAGATGCTGATGGTTTCACAGTGTATCAAAATCGATATAAAATAATACGTGTTTCCTTCATATTTTTAATAGCTTTGTAAATTTTTGTGTGTTCCTGGGAGGACATAAGATAAGCTATATTATTGCCGCTTGGAGTAGAAAAGGTTTCTAAAGAGTTGTGGTGAATAACAATATATTGGACTGAAATATAAAACGCGCAGTAGTTGGCCCTATACGGGAATATAGCAAACGAAAAACAAAAAATATTTATATATAATTTTAAGATATGATTCTTCCAATCACTTCCATTCGTTGGTGATTAGAAATAACAAAAAGGAAGAACGTTCGTAACTTGTAAGTATGCAACACTTAAGGATTAAGCTATTAGGGCTGAATTTTATACACATTTGATATTGAAGAAAAATATTTCTCCCAAATTTGTATTTGAAAATAAGGTTTTTAAATATTATAAAATAGCGAACGTTAAAAAATGTATCTCCGTTTTTAAGCACAGCGTAAATATTTGTATTAATGCATCAAGTAATTACCTTAACTACTTGTATTTACCCTTCATAGAGATTGCATAAAAACTAACTATGATTGAGCAAAAAGTTAATTTATGTTAATAAAAACAAAAAATATAATTGTATTTTATTTACGGCAGCGGAAACAACATAACAATAAGCTCTAAATTGAATATGTAGCTTTAAACAAAAGCTCATTAATTCACTGAAAAGAAAGCAACCTCGTTATTGTTTGCTGGAAAATAAGTGCAAAAAACAAGAGAGTAAACAATATTGTCTACGCGTGCCTAACCGAAAATTATCATACAATTAACAAAATGATTTTATTTTCTTGCTTGTCGGACTTTTTATTTCCATCTCTCTTTTTTTTTTATACTAATTTTCGCCCTTCATAAAATTGTGTTTTATGTGAATTTGTTGGCGTTGCTGTGCCATTTTGCTGTGGCGTGTCTGTCAGTCTGTCAATCTGTCTGTCTAATGGCGGCCGTCTTGCCAAACAAAAGCATGATATTTAAAAACGAAATACAAAGAGGAGCAAAAACATGGAGCAAGTTAATTGAATTTATGCTTTGTTGCTGTTGTAATTGTTTTGCTTGTGGTGTTGTTGTTATTGTTGCTTCCCTATACATATATACTCCACACAAAAGCTTGTGCCATTATAAAATTTTATTTTAATTTTCGCATGTTATTTTTGCCCCAATGTCCACACAAACCAGCCGCCCACTCACAGTCGACGCCATTTTTGTGTTCCTTTTGTTCAGCGCTCTTGTGTGTGTGTGTGTGTGTGTGGAAGTGTTGCTCTTGTTTGTGGGTATGTGTGTGGGTGTGTGTGGGTGTTTGTGTTGTGATTGTGAAATTTGCGGCAGTTCTTTTTGTTATTTGGCTGCGTAAATTGGTTTTATTTTGCATGGCACGTCGGTCACGACCACAAACCAAATGCAAATACATGCAATACACAAAGAGAGCTCTACGGCTTTTAGAAACAATTTTCAACCATTTTCAACAATTTTGAACAATTTTCATTTTTAACGCCTTGTTCTGCACTTGTTCGCATTTGTATATGTGTCCGTGTATGTGGTTTCGTGTGTAGGCTGCAGGTTGTTTATGCGTGTGGGTGCGCATTTTCGTTTTCACTTATGCTTGGCTTCAATGTGCAGCCCAAAGGAGCCACTAATATGAGTTTCTATACACTGCGAGAAAGTCACATACAATTGTTCTTGCAGTAATTATAATTGATACTTTATTTTTCCTAATTATTTGTTTCCCTTAATCGCAAAAAATTTGCAATATTCAAGCAAAAAAATGACTGTTTAGAAATCAACATTTAAATTGTTCCGACAACCAGCAATCTATCTAAATATCAAATTAACTGCATGGGATAAATATTAGTCTTAACTCACGCATTAGAATATTAATTCAACCGTTTAAGAAGTTCAATGATAATTATTTTGTATAATTTTTCAAGGAATTTAAAACCAGTTATTAAATAAAACACTCTTCATTAAAAAAGAACAGAAAAGCTGAAAAATGTTGCTCGGGGTAGATATATATTTAAGGCTGATGTCAATACTAAACAAATATAGAAAACGCTTAATTCCTCCAAATGTCGTTTTAAATAACATTAAACAAATATAAATATTGAAGAAAATATTTCAAAAGTTTTTAGAATTATAATATTCATTAACTATTTCTGTTGCCAATAATATCAATGAATTATATGAAATTGTTTTCAAACTAGAAACGCAAATGTAAAAAATTTAATAACAAAAATTTAAAAAATTGTTTTATTTTCTTTTCCGATTACCTAGATTAATAATAAAGGGTACACGGTTTTTTAAATTATAGCAGAAATCAAAATATAGAATTAGGATAGGGCAGGGCCTTGAAAGTGTAAGATATTAAAAAATATTCTCTATTTCTTAGACATTATTTTAAATGTTTTAGTCTTAGGTTGAAAATAAATATTTTAAAACAAAAACCAGCTAAGTAAAATAGAAGAAATTTTCCATTCTTAAGAATCTATGAAGAATTAAATTTCGTATAATTTTAAACATTGAAGCTTTGTGGGAATAGATTATTAACAAAATGTAGAATAGATTATTTTCAGAATAGGCCCAAGCTTTGAATTTTAGTTTGGAACCATTTAAACTTTAAATTTTAAAGCTTAGAAGTTAAATGTGACTAAGTTTACTCTACCTCTTAGTTTAAGTATACAACTATTCTTTAGAGTGTATTTCGCCTTCTCTGCAGCTTGGCAGCTTGGATGCCTGCCTAACTTTTACTTTATGGTTATGTGAGGTTCTTTTGGTTTCTGGCGAAAGGCAAAAACGTCTTTCAGAATTATTAGGCCACATTATAAACAACTTGGTGTTAACTGCTATGAATTTTATGAGCCAGCCACGCAACTTTTATTTAATTTGCTTGTTTATGCACAAATAAAATTGAAAGAACCAAAACCTTTAAAGGCAGCCAAGATAAGCGAAGGCAGTACTGCTTTTTGTTGCAAGTTTTTCATTTGCCACTTGACATGTTTTCTATTAAAAACTTTTGTGTAGCTGCCTTTCCATCTCTATGCTTTATTTTTATATTTTTTGCAGTTTGCTGCAAGTTTGTCTGCCAAGGGCATAAATAAAACGCCAACGTGCTGAAAATTGCTTATGCAATTCAGATTTATGTAACTCAAGCTTTAGAATATCAACAAAGACAAATGAAAAAGAAATAAACAACAACGTCAATTTATATGGAAGGAAGAAATTTTTGAATGCTAAATAAAATGCATATTTAAACTAGGAAGAAAATAAGTCAAGAAAGTGGAAGAAATGTTTTTTGTTATTTTCTTAGTTCGCTAAATGGCTCGGAATGTTAAGTAAAAAGGAATGGTTGAAAAGGTGACAATGACTTAGCTGTAACATTATTTTTGTTTTCAGTTAAGCTAATGCTTTGATTTCGTAATGTTTTGTTTCTATAAAAGCGAAAGCGAAATAAAGCTTCTTCGTGTAAAACCAGTCTTACAATTCCTTTTAGCTTGTTCAAATAAATATATTTATAATCTAAAGTATTTGATGGCAAAAAGTCCTAAACTAATAATGAAAGATTAAGTCTTTTATGTCAAAAGATCTCTGGGATTCTTAGAGAATAGCTGATCTCTAAAAGAACTCTCTTAACAAAAACCTTATATAAATCTCTGCCCACATTGTCAAATTAACAAAACCTTTAACAAAGATTTTATTCAATTTCAAATGCGTATACTTTATTCCTCTACCTCTTCAAAAGGAACTCATTCAAAAACAACCATTAATTTCATGCTCAAAGCTTTTCATTTCCTTCCGCGCACACACACACACACACACACACACACATCTTCATTTATTATTAAAAGCTGCCGTGTTCGGTGCCCTTTCGATGTACAACAGAGAAACAACGCATTACAAATAATAAAGAACATGTTTACAAAATCAAGTGGTAATCAATAGCTATATAAAATCAACTGCATATAAAAAAAGGGTTCATGAAAATAAGCAGCCCCAACAACAACAAAAAATCAAAAAAAAAAAAACGACAAAAAACTGAGTAAAATAAAATAGAAACTGTCCAAGCCATGCAAACGCAAATGCTTTCAGAGGGGCAAACAAAACCGAAAGTTGCTCCCCTTTTTGTCAGATATTGACATCAAGACGACTTTAAGTGGCGGCGAAAAGTGAAAGCATAAAACTCTTTATTCCCTTCGTCGTCTAACCCTTTAACCGCTTATTGTACCAACGACTTTTTGACCTTTCAACAAGCTCGTTAGCAGCGCACAT